CCCTACAATTTCCTATCCACTTTATCTGACGTAATTTTCAAAACCACCAATATCTTGGCAAGTTGAACTTACCCTTGTAGGAATTTCCCAAAATTTTAATAATAATAATTTTTGAATTTCTTTTTATCACAAAGCAAGTATTTATGATTTTTTTATTATTATTACATAATAATAATAGATCATTAATGTAAGTTAGTTAAAGAGAAGCAAAAGCATTAAAAAATCAATCTAAATTCCAATATCTATAATTTTGTATTTACAAAAAAATATTAATATATAAATTATTTTTCCTATATTTTTTTAAATTAATAATTACCTGACACGAAAATCATCACTTTTGGAATAATAATAATATTTAAATAGATAGAGATAAGAAAGTATTAATAACAATTTATGCAAGTTTGTTTGAAGATGGAAATTTTCCTTAAACAACATATTAATATAGGATTGACTCTATATAAAATATAAATTTACATCAGACATACCATGGAACCCAAAAATTACGGCACTATCAGAAGTATTTTAAAAAAGAACAAGATGAAAAAATTCCACCTCATATTTTCAAGATAAATGATCAAGAATATTTGGAAGAAGAAAGAAAGTTTATCATGAAAAACAAGTAGAAGAGAAATAATTTGCAGCCATTTGAATGTTAACATTATCTGGTTTTGACAATGATATACTTAAACTCATCTCTGACAAAAGGTCAAATGTTATTGTAATGGCATTCCTGATGCTTGAGTAGGTTTAAGTTTTTAATACCTTTTACAGCTCTAGAAACCCTTTTTAGTTTTCAAATAAATTGAATTCATGAAAGGATCATTGACAACCTCTTGAGCTTTCACTATACCAGGATTAGATGTTTCGAAAAGAAAATGTTGAAACTTCATAACTTCTTTAAAATATACATCTTCAGCATAATGCCGAGTCGAGCCGAGTTTATACTTGGCTTGAATTCGGCTTGACTCAAACATAAAAAGGCACTACGTGGACTCGGCTCAAGCTCGAAAACTCTAGCAAACTCTCTATTTTTTTATAAA